ATCGTGACGTAGACATGTGGGGGCGTGTTAGAACGAGCTGTTTTAAGAGGGCGTGGATGACTCTTAACTTTTATAAAAAATATCTCTTTGGATTTGAGACTTTAGTCTTTGTAACTTTACAGATCTTCTTTATGCACCAAGAGCTTGTAACACTCCAAAGAGAAAAGAAAAATTTAAATCGCATCATATGACCCCTTTAAATAACATTTCTGAATATATAAATAAGAAATGTTGAGGAAAAATGCCTACTTTTAAACATGAGACTAAACCGCCTATAGGTGGCGTTGAGTCATTATTCATTCCGATTCCTTCAAAACACTGAGTCAGCTTGGAGAATGTACAATACTTCTGTTCGGATCTTTGTTTGGAACTATTTTCATTTGTGAATTGAACAAAACAGTCAATATTGTGTCTAAAATGTAAGTAACTTAATATACTTCTCTACTTGTTTGTTGAACTAAAAACAATGTAAATATTCAGCAAAATAGCTAACTTGTTATGGTATGTTAAATACATCATGTTATCAATAAATAAAACATTTTGAATTTTCACCTCAGTATGTTTATTCTGTGAGTTTCTTTATGTGTGCCGTTACGCTCATTTGATTTGATTTCTCCATGAAAGTCTCTTTCACACAGACAGGCAGTACGAGCCTCAACAGCGAGTCATTGATAACAGAAATGCACTATCCATCATCAATCGCGGTTTCAGCTCAATGTTATAAAATCAGAAGAATCATTCTCACGTTTTGATGCTTCACTAGTTTTATGTCACTTAAGTTTTAATCAGGCTATTTGTCCAGTTGGGGAGAAGTAAAATTCTCGAGCCATTTTCAGTAATTTGCATTAAACTACCTAGGAGGCTGCTTAGCTAGCTGGTGTTCAGGGTTGCCAGGTTTTCACAAGAAACCCCGTCCAATCGCTACCCAAAACTAGCCCAGTTAAAAATCGTGTTCCGGGGGGTAAAATACACGTTTTTGGCGGGGTTCCCCTGCTAAAATTCGCATTCCAGGGGATAAATATCATTTTATTGGAGTCGCTTCAACCTGCGGACATGATAAACAACCTGCAGCAACAGTGTTAAAGTAGCCCAATTCCGCGGGAAAACCGCGGACTTGGCAACACTGCTGGTGTTCGACTGGATTCTGCTACCGCAATTTTCTCTGATGACGCAGTAACTACAGTGGGAAAAAAAATCTTCAGTCTGTCCAATGACACACACAGTGTCTACATGCCGTGCCGCAACAGCTAAAGTCTGTCTACACTGGACACGACAAAGCGACCGTTGAAAATCATTTGAATTTTGTGTCAGTACGTCATAAATAGAACGCAGCAGCAGTTTACTGTCGGGAATTTGTCATGCCGACAATAGGTTCTATTGTATTTTGTCGCGTCGCATCAACGCAGCACCGCTCGCGTCTGGTGTGTGATTGTAAACAGTCACCGGGTCCGTCAAACTGAAGAATTTTTTTTGCGGTAATGTGACCAAAAAAAATGTAAGACCGATCGAATCTGAATTTAAGACATTTTACGACTTTTTAAGGACCCGCGGCCACCCTGATAATATTACAATATTACCATTCATTAACTAGACTGTGGCAGCCCGCCACAAATATTATTATTTCATAATAAACCGAAGATATATTTATACTTCTCATATAACATAAAAGTTCTTTAACGTTGTGTTTCACGCCATTGCTTTGGCAAGTATCCGCCAAACGAATTAGTCTGTTTGCGCTGCTTGTTTCAAAGTGAAGCGCGCACATTAGGCGCATATCTAATCGTTTGTGTGAAGAGTGGAAGCTGAAGGTACTTTGCAGGACATGGAGGCGCCAGCGCGATCACTCACTTGCATTTTTTTCTTAATAGTGGAAACAACTTAAAATACCCCGTAATTTCCATTACTAAGTTACGCCACTGATCAGAGCAGCATGTGTGCAGCAAGCAGGGTAATGAACGTACACGCCCACTGCTGGAGCGGTTCTCGTTCTCGAGTCGAGCCCGACCGATATATCGTTTAGCCTATATTATCGGCCGATATGTGCCTGTCGCCGATATATCGGTATCAGCGAATATGCCGCAGATACGCCGCCGATATGAAATTTTTTTTTTACAGAGCATATAACGCAGATAAAATGCTTGAAATGGTGTAATTACTTAGTTTGTCCAGCAGAGCGCGCTCCATTGTTTGCTACTGGCGACCTGGATGAAATCGGGGGATCCCTTCAGCTCGAGGAACCCTCTCGAATGCGAATTGAGTATACGTCTCGAGGCCCTCTTTCGAATGAGACCACCCCGCGTTGATAGCCCCTGGGGTTCGGGAGTTACGGGCGGTTAAATTCGCGTTACGGCGCCGACCGATCTAGCGATCCCAGGGGGCTACCGACGCGCGGAGTGTGGCGTTCGAGAGGGCTCCTCGAGCTGAAGGGATCCCCCGAATTTGACACTTTCCCATTCAGACACAAGTTTGACTGGTACTGTACTATAATATAAACAAAGAATATCGGCCGATATATCGATATCGACCTTTTTTTACTCCCAAATATCGGTATCGGCCCCAAAAAACCCATATCAGTCGGGCTCTAGTTCAGACTGTTCCAGCGAACTGATTTAAAACTTTTTCAGAGATTCATGTATTGAATAACACCAGATAACTAGTGCAAAGAGCAAAATAAATATTCTCAGAGGGAATCGGCTGACATCAGGGAAACGGCTTGAACTTGGACTGGGTTTGGGAACGGGTCAGTAGTCGAGCCGGCCGCTCTGTCCATAAAGTTTATTGTTAAATTGTTAAATGCCCTGCCTCCATCATTACATATCTTTGTTACATCATTATAAGTGTTTGATCACCACATTTGAGTGATCATTGCAAAAAATGTGTTTATGTATATATATTCTGTTTATGTATATACTGTATTCTATATATAGTACCAGTCAAATGACACTTTCCCATTCAGACACAAGTTTGACTGGTACTGTACTATAATATAAACAAAGAATATCGGCCGATATATCGATATCGACCTTTTTTTACTCCCAAATATCGGTATCGGCCCCAAAAAACCCATATCAGTCGGGCTCTAGTTATGATTACAGACTTTATATATTTAAATGTGTATTTTCATCGCGGCCCAGGACGATAGACTTGATATCATTACTACTACGTTTGGGCGTAAAAGAACCGATGAACCATTTTTTTTAACCGGTTCGCGGAAAAGAACTGGACTTCCCATCACAAGTGTTTTCCGTGTCTCAAGAGTGGCTCAGTTCACAGTGAATGCAGTGAACGCCAGTATTGAATGTGCTGTGAGTTTAGCACGCGTTTGGGAACGCAACGGCCACCAGTTATGCATAATTTGCACAATTTTCAACATTTTAATGGACAAATATTTACAGTATTTCATTAAATTAGCAATGTTTGTAGACCTGTTTTCACAGAAGCTGAAGTTTTCCACCAAAATAAAAGCTCAACTGAAGTTTCTGCCAAAATAAAAGCTCAAGGGTTTATCACTTGCAAGCATGGCCTAAAATTAACCGACGAGCACAGAGAAAATACTGTTCAGGTACAGCAAGCTCACTGTTTGGAATAAAAATATAAATATTGGGGTGGGGGTTTATATGAATGTATTTTTGAAGGGAACTGACTTCACAAAAGTTTTGATGGTATTTTTCCCCCTCTTATCACTGCTGATCCATAAGCGCCACCTGCTGTCAGAGAGTGAATTTGCGTTCTCATTCAGCCTGTCTGTTTTTGTTTCATGCAGGTTTTATCTTTGTATCGTGATTCAAATGCAATGGTTCTAATTTCAAATGGCTTTTTTTTAAAAAATTAAATATGTTTAGTTGTTGTAGTAGTAGCAATTGCCCTTTTCAGTTTCACTTTCATGGCAAGGAAAAATATTTATGGCCGGTAAATTTTCTCAAGTCACCAGCCACTGGCAGATGAGAAAGTTAGTTTTAGGCCCTGCTTGCAAGTGTAGAAACTAGGACAAAAGTATTGAAATTTCCCTACTGTAGAGTAAGGTAAAATAATATACCTGAGAAAAAAAAAAAAACATTTTTCATTTATTTCACAGTGCAATTGTTTTACAATATATGGCTATTACTGTCATAGGAATAATAATATAAAATTATTATTATTATTTTATTCGTTTGTTTGGCTTCCAAATTCACCCGTGAGACTGAGACACTATATCACAACTAAAAAGAGAGTTGGGTCCCCTTTAAATTTCAAGAACAAGTACATTCACAAGCTTTTTTCTTTTAGTTTGCACACTGAACCTGTGTTGAAGCTCTTAATTTTGAACTCTCAAAGTGCACCAGATTTATGAATTTAACTTTAAAATATTAAAAATTTTCTTCCGGGGGGGCCCCCGATCCTACAGGGATCGAGGACGGCCCATCACAGTCAAACAAAATCCTGTGGGAAACACTGTATTATTATTATTATGATTATGATGTTAAATATTATGACTATGTAAATAATACTATAATAAATAATAATAATCATCATTATTATTACTATGTTAAATATTATGACTAATTTAGATGTAGATATAGTTTTATCACTATCGGTAAATATGCAAAGCGTTCTTACTTTGAACTCCTCCATGAGTTTCCGAATGGCTTTGCCGCGTGCTCCGATGATGCGTGCGTGGACCCGCCGGTCCAGCCGGATGTCCTCACTCACCATATCTTGCAGTGCTGCCACCAGCTGCTCTATAGCTGCCCTGGCCTCATTAGCATTCCTCTCATAACCCGAGATTACAATTACATCCTAGAGGAAGACAGAGTCGCGTGAAGAAAGAAAGACTGACAGGCAAAGAGACAAACATGAATGACAGGTATGAAAGGTATGAATGGTATGAGCTTCTTTAACCAGTCTGAGTTAAAGAATGAGGAAATTCCCTTTCGAAAACAATCTGCTTTCATACCTGCTGCTCTTCACCTTTGTCAGGGAACTGCACATTGACATCGTAGTCTTTGCGTATTTGAGAGATGACGGCTCCTTTACGGCCTATAATTTTGGGGTGATATTTCGGGTCTACTGAGAGCGTCACCTTATAGCTCCGTAAGGCCTACAAATAGACAAGAAAAGAATATATTCTATTGCAAGAAGTAAATCTCAGATTGTATATGGAAATTTTGTTGTCACAGCATGTTCTGTCAGCAGAGCGGTGTTGAGAAGAGGTTGTACCCGATCTTCCTGCTCCGCCTGCAGCTCCTTGACTCTCTCCAGCAGTCCCTGTTTGGCCCGCTCCACACTGGCCACCTGTCCTGTGATCTTTATGATATCTGACTGTTGCTCAGGCTGAGGAACCCAAATGTTCACCTATACAGCACAGTACAACCAGACACATTAACATTCACTCATCAGTTTGACTTTCTTCCGTTAAACACAAAGGGGGATGCAATTTGTTCGTCAGACTGTGGTCAGCTGTTGCTGTATGGAAAAGAGCAGCTTGGGCATTATGCTAAACATATTCTTTTGTGTTCTACAGAAGAAAATAAAATGAGGGTGATGTAATTGATGACAGGATTTTAATTTCATTCCATTAAAGTTGGATGGTTTATGCCTACACTACCTTTCAAAAGTTTGGGGTCAGTAAGATTTTTTTTAGGAAATTAATACTTTTATTTAGTAAGGATGCATTAAATTGATCAAAAATGAAAGTAAAACATTTATAATATTACAAAAGATTTCCATTCAAATAAATGCTGTCTATTCATCAAAGAATCTTGAAAAAAGATATCATAGTTTCCACAAGAATATTAAGCAGCACAGCTGTTTTCAACTTTGATAATAATATGAAATGTTTCTTGGGCATCAATCAGCATATTAGAATGATTTCTGAAGGATCATGTGACACTGAAGACTGAAGTAATAGCTGCTGAAAATTACAGGAATACATTATATTTTAATATATATTGAAATAGAAAACAGTTATTTTAAATTGTAAAAAAAATATTTGATCAAATAAATGCAGCCTTGGTGAGCATAAGAGACTTCTTTCAAAAACACATTCTTGGGGTCACATCTTATTGACCCCAAACTTTTGAACGGTAGTACAAACACAATTCAATATGTCTCTACCTCATAGTCCTCCATCATTTTCCTTATTCCAGCTCCTTTCTGTCCTATGATGTAACGATGAAGGTCATAGGAAACCTCAACATCAATCGTCACAGGAACTAAGGCCTAGAATGCAAAAGGGAAGGAAAAAATGGGATAAAGAGAATGAAAACCAATCCACCATAAGTCAAAAGAGACAGCTAGAATTTCCAGAATTCCTTACAAGTAAAGCTGCACGAGCCAACTCGCACTTTTCGGCCTGTCCCGTCACAATGATGATATCGCACTTCCGAGGAATGAGACTGAAGACTGAAGTAATAGCTGCTGAAAATTACAGGAATACATTATATTTTAATATATATTGAAATAGAAAACAGTTATTTTAAATTGTAAAAAAAATATTTGATCAAATAAATGCAGCCTTGGTGAGCATAAGAGACTTCTTTCAAAAACACATTCTTGGGGTCACATCTTATTGACCCCAAACTTTTGAACGGTAGTACAAACACAATTCAATATGTCTCTACCTCATAGTCCTCCATCATTTTCCTTATTCCAGCTCCTTTCTGTCCTATGATGTAACGATGAAGGTCATAGGAAACCTCAACATCAATCGTCACAGGAACTAAGGCCTAGAATGCAAAAGGGAAGGAAAAAATGGGATAAAGAGAATGAAAACCAATCCACCATAAGTCAAAAGAGACAGCTAGAATTTCCAGAATTCCTTACAAGTAAAGCTGCACGAGCCAACTCGCACTTTTCGGCCTGTCCCGTCACAATGATGATATCGCACTTCCGAGGAATGAGATCCGTATCCCCGTTCTCTGGAGATGCAGGTTCCTGAGCTGCAAGCCACAAATGCAACAAACAACACAGCTCGTAAATATTCTTGTCATCAATAAATAGAACGAAAAAATATCTGAACTAATTTGAGAGTGTAAGGAAAAGACCTGCACACTCATCTCTGTCTGGAAATTTGATCAGAACTTCATGTTCCCGTGTAATTTGTTGTATTTTGCAGCCTTTGGGTCCCATGACGGCTCTGTGGTACCGCTGAGGAATCACCACCTCCACATTCACCTGTGACTCCTGATGACACATTAGCAGATAATGACAATCAGAAATTATTCTAATATGCTTTCTAATATTTTTGTGGAAACCATGATACATTTTTTCCCAAAAAAAATCTTTGATGAATAGAAAGTTCAAAAGAACAGAAGTTATTTGGAATATATTTTTTGTAAGTGTACAGTACTGTCACTTTTGATCAATTAATTACTAATTTAATTGATTAAAAAAAACAGAGTAACCCCAAACTAAACCCCAAACAGGTATTGTATATACTGTTCATGGCGGAAAAGTCACTGCATTTACATGCAATATGTATACATGGACTGGATATGAAACTCACAAGATCTTGAACAATCTCCTGAATGCGTTTCTTAGCAGCGTCAACACACTCTCTGGGTCCTTTGAGAGTGATATTGTCACTCTGTGTGCCCGTGCGAGGGAAGCTAACAGCTACACCGCCATACTCCTCCGCCAACTCTCTCAACACCTGCCCTCTCCGACAGACGAAGTGACGGTGATGCCGGGGGTCCACGACCATACTGTCCTCTATCACGTCATCCTGAAAAGAAAGGACAGATGAGGAGGCGTGTTCAAAGAAACACTAACTCAAATGCTTTACGTTTTCTTCTGTCATACCAGATTTTTAATGAGGGTCTCCAGCTCTTTCTGGGCAAGCCATACAGCCTCCTCTTTACCCATGATGGTAATGTGCTCCTGTTCTGGCTCATCTGGTGATGGGAAGATGATTCGTGCTCCGGTTCGATCCCGTACCCGTCGGATATTAGCTCCTCCTTTGCCTATCAGGAACTTATGGTACTCTGGCTTGGCTTGAAGCTCCACTGAGAAGTTGTTGACTTGCTGGTGGGACAAAAATCAAATGTCTCGCATAGACTGAATGACTCAAAAAATGTCCTTTTTGCTTTTCTGCTTTAGATCTTCATCTCATTACTCACCTTCTCCTCCGCCAACTGCAGCAGTTGTCTCCTGGCTCTCTCCACCTCCTCTGCAGGACCTCGGATGGTGACCTTGTCCAACCCTGAGCCCTCCGCAGGGAAGTGGATGTGAACACCCCCACACTCTTCCATCACAGAGCGCACCAGACTGCCCTTGGATCCAATCAGAGAGTTGTGCAGTTTGGCTGGGATGGAAACCTCAGCCTCCTTCAGGTTGGCCTGGGAGAATTGAAAGATCAAGCGAGAATGTGTGAGAGAAGAAAAACTAAGAGCACTGGGAATTACACCTATAATACATTTTCTAGCTTCCTGTTTCTCTCACCAGCTCTTTCTGAATGGCGAGAATCCGATCTCGTGCGGCTTCACAGCTGCTCTTCTTGCCAGTTATTACAATCATCTCAGAGTTGCTGTTTTCCGTTGGGAGATCAATCTTGGTGTTGGTCTCCTCACGTATCTATATAGATTTACACAGCAACGCAGCGTCAACACAGTCTCTGGGTCCTTTGAGAGTGATATTGTCACTGTGTGTGCCCGTGCGAGGGAAGCTAACAGCTACACCGCCATATTCCTCCGCCAACTCTCTCAACACCTGCCCTCTCCGACAGACGAAGTGACGGTGATGCCGGGGGTCCACGACCATACTGTCCTCTATCACGTCATCCTGAAAAGAAAGGACAGATGAACTGCAGGAAGTGCATTCAAAGAAACACAAACTCAAATGTTTTGCTTTCTCTTCTGGCATACCAGATTTTTAATGAGGGTCTCCAGCTCTTTCTGGGCAAGCCATACAGCCTCCTCTTTACCCATGATGGTAATGTGCTCCTGTTCTGGCTCATCTGGTGATGGGAAGATGATTCGTGCTCCGGTTCGATCCCGTACCCGTCGGATATTAGCTCCTCCTTTGCCTATCAGGAACTTATGGTACTCTGGCTTGGCTTGAAGCTCCACTGAGAAGTTGTTGACTTGCTGGTGGGACAAAAATCAAATGTCTCGCATAGACTGAATGACTCAAAAAATGTCCTTTTTGCTTTTCTGCTTTAGATCTTCATCTCATTACTCACCTTCTCCTCCGCCAACTGCAGCAGTTGTCTCCTGGCTCTCTCCACCTCCTCTGCAGGACCTCGGATGGTGACCTTGTCCAACCCTGAGCCCTCCGCAGGGAAGTGGATGTGAACACCCCCACACTCTTCCATCACAGAGCGCACCAGACTGCCCTTGGATCCAATCAGAGAGTTGTGCAGCTTGGCTGGGATGGAAACCTCAGCCTCCTTCAGGTTGGCCTGTGAGAGTTGAAAAATCAAGCGAGAATGTGTGAGAGAATAAAAACGAAGAGCATTGAGAATTACACCCATAATACATTCCCTAGCTTCCTGTTTCTCTCACCAGCTCATTCTGAATGGCAAGGATCCGATCTCGTGCGGCTTCACAGCTGCTCTTCTTTCCAGTTATTACAATCATCTCCGAGTTACTGTTCTCCGTTGGGAGATCAATCTTGGTGTTGGTCTCCTCACGTATCTATATAGATTTACACAGCAACAAAAATTTCTCTCATTAAAAGCAAAAATTAGCACAATGTTTAAAAATGCAAATTGTAATTATTATTTCAGATGCTGGCTAAATCACAATACTCCGCCACCAATGCTTTCAGTTCTTTTATGGTCCTTTTTTCTCACTATGAACTAGTGTTTTATTGTTAACTAAATCCAACATTTTCGGTATTTGCAATAAAGCTGAACTAAAATAATGTATAAATTAGTGCTGTCAACTTTCCTGTAATTAATCGTGATTATTTGCATATTAATATAATATATTTATATCGTCATAAATGCATATTGAATCTCCAAATTAATGTAGAAACAACATAAAGACGGTATATTTTAAATATGTTTTTAATGGCATTGTTTTTTTAAGTAGCCTATCATTAATGAAGGCCAGTATCATTGCCACCAATGCTGCTACTGATGTCTCTACTAAATGCATTTTTACCTAAATTCTAGCCATTAATTAAAGCCATTCAACATTACAGTATAATTAAAAGCCATTATTTTTTAACATTTAATAGGCTTTGAAAAAATATGACCTTTTTTTAAGTAAACTTAAAACAATCTTCATATAAACTATAAACTGTATATGCAAAAACTATAAGTTGAATATAAAATTAATCGTTATTCAAGCTACAAAAGTTAATCAGCAAGCAAAGCAGTGAGTGATTTCTCTTTTTCTTTTGTTCTTTGATTTACATCAATGACATAGACTGCAGCAGGTTTGGCTTTGAAAGCTTTGAAAGCAGTGCTGTCTCTTTAAAAACTAATGCACATAATGTGGTGACGTGGATCTCACACATCCGATCTTCTTCCAGTTCTTTATGGTCATTTAGGACTTTTTAACTAATTTAAAACCGTGTTAATGAGCGGCTGCCTGTGTTCACAAAGAGCTGCTTCACAGACAGCATGCCAGTACCGAATTAACTTTTGTGTCTTTTGCTTCTTATCGCGCTTTATAGTGTGTTCATATCGTCTACAATAACCCTACCCAAAGCATACCAGGAAAAAAATGGATGCTGCGTTAATTACCTTAAATATTTTTAAACAACAACTAACTAAAATTTGAAATTAAAAATTGAAGTTTAATTTGAAAATTACTAAAATTAAAACTAAATAACATTCAGTTTTGGGTGAACTACCTCTTTAAAGGATGAACAAGTCATCTTTACAAATCTAAAAAAAATAAAAAAAAATAGCTGCCTTTGTGTCCTCACCTTTTTGATGTTGGCACCTCCTTTGCCAATGATGTTTTTGTGGAACTGCTTGTGGATGGGTACAGAAATTGAGAAGCTGCTCTCAACCTAACAACATGAACATAACGATAATTAAAAATATAATATAAAAAAAAAAACACTAAAGCTCAATCCCTTTCAAAGAGTTAACTTCTCAGCTGTACAACAGATGATTTTACTTTAAAACAATAAGTGCCTTAACTACAATAGCATTGGAGGAAGTTGTCATCTGTAGGCTGGGTATGATCATTTCATAGCTGTCTGACCACATAATAGCTGCTCTTTTTGCGACCTTGTATTAGTCACGAAGCAAATGTAATTTGAGAGCAGGAAGGAAGCAAGAGGGAAAATTACTCTTGTACCAGCTCAGCGATGAGTTTCTGGAGAAACTTCGCACATTTCTCCACTTCGTTTTTAGGCCCTCTGAGCTGTACTATGTCACTTTTCTGTTGCTGGTCTGGAAAGATGATAATGACCTGTGGAAATGAAACCATCATATAATGTGATAAAAAATTTAGAATATAGCAGAATATAGATATTGGTGTGTTGTACAAAATGAAGCAGTGAGCACCTCAGGGAACTTGTCCCGTACTTCTTTGATCTTCTCTCCTTTCTGCCCAATGATGGTGCGGTGAAACTTATGCTCTATTATAAGGTCTTTCGTGCGTTCATTTTCCTAAAGTATCAAAGACACCAGAAAATGACATCTTAAACCATGCAAGCAAATGTTTCAGATAGCTTCATAATGTCATAGAGTGCTCTTGTGCTTTCCATATAGTGCGTCTCACCATACGTTGGGCCATGTCCATCAGTTCCTTGCGAGCGAGCTGTACTCCCTGAGGATCACCCTCAATACGAACCAGCCCACAGCGCTCCGAATCCTGAGGAATCCGCACTGATACCTTATACTGCTCCTTTATCCGATTTACTGGGAAAAGCACCAAATAATTCATTTATCTGCTCTGTTCATTGAACAAATGAACTTTACTGTAACAAATATATTATAGATAACTCAAAGGTCTCATAATCAGATTAAGTGTGCAACACAGTCATTAATTTTTCCCAGGTTCTGTGGCAATGGCAACATATGAAATATGATATTTAAATAGAGATGGATAAGTACATTTGCAACTGTTGCATATTGACATTGTGTGCTGCTTGTAATCAAATAATGTGTAAAACCACAATTTGACTATTCAAACATTACTCTTCTATCTGTGCTATGAGCTCTGTTTCTATCCAGACATCCCAAACATGACTAAAGTTTCAGACTCAGCACTCCAGAAAGGGTTTAAACCTACTGTTGGCCCCGTTTTTGCCAATGAGGTGTCTGTGGAAACGGTGGTCAATGTTAATCTCTGCATAGTCCATTCTTGCCATCTGGAGGGAGAAAAATAAAATACTTAAGGACTGTACCTAAACTATTTATATTCCACAAATGCAGAAACCTGAAGAACAAACCATAACTGAAATCTTACAGTTATAAGATATGAAGCAACCATTTTTAGCAACCAAATTTCCCATTTTTTTATTCCGTTCTATACTCATTTTAACAACAACAGCAAAAAACCTGATAGTAAGAGATCTGAGGGTTCTCTTACCAGGTCTTTTATAATCTCCTGTATCTGAGCCTGGGCTTGTTCTACCTCCTCCGTCGGCCCCTCCAGACTGATACGTTCCTCTCCATCAGTAAACTCTATATGCACCTAATGATGACAAACAGCCAGCTAAAGTTATTTTCACATTTTATTCAATGAAATAAAACACATCAATAATACCCCACTCATGAATTTTTTTATGTATCTTGAAAAAGGCGGTTGCTAACAAGGCTTAATAGGACTATAGAGATTGACTGAGACATCAAAAAACATCACACTATACAGGTAAACTCATCTACTCACTAGTCTGCTTTTACAGTCGCGTTGTGTTTATACTTGCACTCTTGAAAACTATTCTAACTCAAACTTTTAAAGGGGTGGTTCACTGGTTTTTTTCTAGGCTTGATTGTGTTTATGAGGTGCAGTCTAACATGTGTTAATGCTTCGTTTAAAAAAAAAAAAACACATTATTTTTTTACATAATTTACCTTTATTCCACACCGCTCTGTCCCTTCTCTGAGAAACGGGCTGATCTTTTCCTTTTTATGAAGCCTGCTTCTCATAGAATCGTCAGAAGACAGAATCGCGATTCATATATGAATAGACTTTTACTGCCAAAAAGGTTATTTTAAAATTGTGGTTAGATCCATCTACCCCAGTTAGATTGACGTGGATGTCATATTTGCTGGATATTGCCCTTTTGGAGTGTACCACAGCCAAAATACATGGTGCCACCAGAAAGACAATACAATTTTGGTTGGACCTTATTGATAATTTATCAGGCCTATTGAAATCCTGATATGTACTTGTTATCCCGCTAATATTGTTTTGTAACATTGTATTGTAACCCGCTTGTTGGGTTTTTAATTTTTTTATGTATATGGGCAGATCTCGGGCTCTGCTGTAAAAAGTTATAAATCCAAAATGTTTAATAAAAAAAAAAAAAAAAAAAAAAAAAAAAAAAAAAGACGATATCTCCGTTTGCATTGAACTTTCAGCTTCGTAACTTTGCAAATATTGTTTATGCTCAAACAGCAACATTACACACTAACTAACGTTAAAAAACTTGAACCCCTTTAAACTTGAAGATTTGAAATAAAGTTTGAAAGGGTTGACAGAAGCTTAGTGGTGATGACATTGAACTGTAGTACGTTTATTGCCTGTACTTTAGCTTTGTACTTCTGGCGATTGTATTTAGGCTTTAAAATGAATACGTTTGTGAAGATTATCTTGGCAAACACAACATTTAGGAATCATAAACTTTTGTTGGTCACAGAGCTTATTTTCTGAAATAATCCAAAAGGCAATGTAAAAATCCAGCACTCTATTCTCAGTTACAAAAAACATTTGACTTGCTATATTTCAAATTGGATATCTCATAATAGACTTCTCATTTCAGTTTTCTATACCTTAGGCAGCTGCTGAGTAATGCGACTGATGTTTTGTCCTTTCTTGCCAATGATGAAACGATGGAGCCAAGCCGGAGCAATCACCTCCACCACTATCACACTTTTAGCCTGCAAAACACACAAGTGCCATGTGAACAGCTGCCTTTTGCATGCATTCTGTTGAAAATAAGGCCAAACAATGGCAATACAACTGACCTTGGCGTACACCTGCGTGAGAGCCGGACCCAGCTTGTCCGGTTCTCCTCTGAGGATGATGGTCTCAGATGCGGAGTCCAGAGGGGGCATCTCCACAGACACCCCCGTGTTCTCCAGGATTTCCTGTAGGGTGTTGCCTTTGGGGCCTACTATGTACTTATGTTGTGACTTCTTCACCTCCACTGAGATTGTGGTTGTTTTTCGTTTCTGCTTGTGCAAATTAAGAAGAAGGTCAGGAAATGTCACGAGATGCATGTTTTTGAAATACAGAGACTGCCTTTATTTGATCAAAAACACAGTAATATTGTGAAATAACTGTTTCCTATATTGTGTTGCTTAATATTTTTGTGGAAACTGTGATACACTTTTTTTGTATTTAACAGGATTCTTTAATGAATTGAAAGTTCAAAAGAACAGCATTTTTAAAATGTCTTTGTTGTCACTTATGATCAATTTAATGTGTCCTTGCTGAATAAGGGCATTCATTTCTTAAAAAAAAAAAAAAAAACGTACAGACTCCAAACTTTTGAACAATTCTCACCTTCTCTTCATAGATGGCCCGGATGCGGGCAATCGCCATGGCAACTGCCTCCTTCTCGCCGGTAATGACAATCTCATCTTTGGGTACGCTGGGTGGCGGGATGCTAATACGAGCTCCGGTCTCCTGACTAACTTCTTGAACGAGTTGATTATATGCACCAGCGATGAATGGATGAAAAGCCTTCTCAAAAGACAAACGTTCCACGGCACGCTTATCCTAAAGCAAACAGTGAGGTCATAATGAGGCTGAATTAGAAATGAAACACAAAGCCTCATCTCATCTAGCTTTAATGATTACCTGCTCAGCGGAGATGAGCTGGATTTCATGGCGAGCTTTCTCTATGCCGTCCTTGGTGCCGGTGATACGGATGTTGGCGTTGGGATCGTCAGATCGGGGGATGGCGATCTTGGTGGCTGTTTTCAGCTCCAGCTCCTGCAACTTCTCCCCATTCTTTCCGATCACAAACCGATGATGTTCTTTCGGAATAAGCACAGTCGCTGAAGCCTGAGAAGTTCAGCATTAAAATACAACTTTTTACACCGAGAAAAATTAATTGAATAAGAAATGCAAGACTCAAACAAGCACCTGAGTCTGCAGTCGGGCCACAATCTCCTTCCTCGCTTTCATAACCGAATCCAGTTTTCCAGTCACCATGATGGAGAGGCCTTGGTCCTTGGCAAGAGAGAGTTCGATATGTGCCCCGGTCTTTTGCATGATATCCAGGCACACTTTTGCCTCCTCACCCTCACCAAACTGACTGTTGTCTTTATACCGCCGCTCCTCCAAAGGGACATGGAACACCTGAAGGTGCACAGGGTGAAGAAGAAGAAAAAGTGTGACAGGCCCTCAATAACAATGAAAATATATGGTGGCTTGACGAGCATCTTACTCAGACTGCACAAACCTTCTATAGAGGATTATATATGTTACCTGAGTGATAACAGAGGCTTTGATGGGTCGGATTTTGCTCCAAGCACTTGCCGGCTCACCGGTCTTCTCACCTGGAGTGCCCTTGTCCGGCAAAGGTGGAAAGGCTTCCAGATAGGTGGGTATATATGCTTCATCTTCTGGCACACGACCTAATCACAGACAATACGAAAAGGAAATAGTAAAATGTACACAACAACTTTTCTTTGAATTATTTTGATAATATAACAGTATGATGCTATATAAATACAATCAACCAGGGTCATCAAGTATGAAGAACAGAAGAAATACCAACTGCATAAAAAACAATTATTGAAAATACTGACATGTTTTTTCTTTTTGTACTTCTTAGTTGTTCAGTTTAGTAAATACTTAACCAATAGTGGTACATCAATTAGATTACTTTGAGATTGATAATTATAAATGGAAATAATTATTATATTATATTATAATTCGCAATTTTTATTTTTCAAAGAGACACTATTTACCATAATTGTGCATGATGACATGCTGCAGCAGAATGCTTCACACACGCTGTGTGATTCAGATAAGAACAGCTCTGCTGTCACTGTCAAAGATCATTGTGACACACTGACAGCTAGTAAACAGCATGAGTGTTCAGCATCACACACATCAGGGATGTGTTCAAAAACAGATGTGCCTAATACTAGCTTTAAAAGTGTTCCAGTATCAAATCATTAGTTTATATTATCTTTGCCGCTACTTAAGTGAAAGTGACGTGACATGTGGCCAAGTATGGTGACCCATACTCGGAATTAGTGCTCTGCATTTATCCCATCCAAAGTGCACACACACAGCAGTGAACACACACACACCGTGAACACACATTATTAAGTATACAGCATCTTTGACTTGTTCTTTTAATTCATTGTTACATCCGTTATCTATTCCTGCCATTACACACACACACACAAAAAACCTAAATGTTGGTGAATCATATGTATTTTTGTAGAAGAATAGTTTCACCCCTAATTCTTCCACAGTCGTTATACCTGTGATCTCAACGTCCTTCAAGCCACTGCGGTGCTCTGCAAAACTCTCCTGAGTCAACACTGCCACAGAGCTCATGTTTCAAGACCTGATCCGCTATCCTGCAGAGACCAGGACAAAGAGGAGGGACATGTGGAGAGAAAATACAGAAAAACAAAAATATAACAGCAGAGAATATCTAGGCCAAACACACAGCCTTCAAAAAAACAAACTAAAAGAGCATAGCAGTAATGGACTACTTTCATTTGAGTGATAAAGTGCTTGCTGAGCTCTATTCTCAGCGGTTTCAGCAGCCCAGCAGGGCCCCGGCACACACTGGCATCTCCCTGAGCCCAACAGCATCTCTCTCCACCTGAGCTCTCCAATTAAAGATGCTGCAGCTGTGAAATCTGACGAAAAGCCTTGTGTGAGCTTGACTAATGCAACAATTATTGATCATTGTTTAAAATGATAATTGTTTAAAGCTGTCAATCTTTTAGATACCACGGACCCCCAAAATGATCATCCTCGTCTCAGGGACCCTATCCTAAAATTTCAAAGACATTCTTGTATAAAGACCCAATTTATACAGTGAAAAAATTATATTATAAATATGTATAAATATTGTTTAAAAAGCAATTAGGTAAGTCCCTTTATTACATAATTTTAATTCATTGTAGTAGATATAAATGCTATATTTATTTAGTTATTTAAATATTTTAATCTAATGTTTTTTTATTCATTTAATCAAACTTATTTTAATCAAAAAACAATTTATTTATTTAAACTCATTTTTAATTTTAATCAAATTTTTACTAATTATTTTTACATTTTTACATTATTTTTCTCTAAACTTTTCCATGGACCCCTAGCACTCCTTTGCAACCCCCTGGAGGTCCCCGAACCCCAGATTGAAAACATCTGGTCTAAACTAGTGGAACTGTAAAGAAGAAAGATGTGACGATGAAAATTATTATATATATTTATATATTCTTACACTGAAAGTCACATTTTCTGTAAAGTTTTCAGAAAATTTCACTGCAGCTTATACACTGCGCACGTGCATTAAAAACAAGCTGTATTCAATTCTGTAAGTGCATGCAACATTCTCATTTTTCAAATATGCCTTAATATCACAATCATGCCAAAGCCAGAAATTTTTACCCACCTGCAAAGGGTCGAAAACCAGAAAGTCCGTCCAGGTGGATGCTACTGAGAGCTCTTCAGTGTCAGTCTGTTTGTTCAGCCCTGTGTGGGTGAGGTTAGCAAAGAGAGATTGTAACCAGCCTTGTGATTACATACACATAAAAAACAGCATCTTGTGGCAAGGCCCTCTGAGGTTGACCGAGGAGGGGGGCCGAGTCACAGTGGTCTGTCCTGTGGGAGGCAATAGCTAGATGTGGTGCTAAGGATAGCCTCCACTTCACTCTCAGGTGACTAGGTATCTAATTGGCGTGTGGGTGTTTGTGCTTACTGTAGTGATGGCAAAAATACACACACGCATTGTATTTACACATGGGATTGAAACATTTACACAGATTCATCTTAACACTCATTGAGAGAGCAAATTGCCCATGATGTAGAATAATACATGTAATAAAACAGATATGGGCTAATAGGCTTGCCATTATTTTCTAATATTATGAGGATCTAATTGCCGAGTGTTACTTTGTTTGCTTTTGCGGTGATAATAAGTTTGTAGGGAAAAATGTCTTATATACAAAGGTTTTCTCAGCTTTTAGGTCTTGAGGGACCCATGCATGCCACTTGCAAATATATTTTTACGCAACCTGCATGTTCAGTATCAAAACAAACAACAATATAAGCAATTATCGCGCTCTCCAGTCTATTTGCATACTATATAAAATGCATATATCATGCACTATCAGGATCCATATCATCTGTAAGCTCAGTGCAGAGCAGCAGTTCCATGTAAACACATACTGGAGCAGGCTAACAACACTGCCTGACATATAACAGCGCAATTGGCAGTTAAAACAGCTGTTAAAACCTCGATTAGCAAAGTGAGGGAGAGTGCATTCTGTATCGTGGTGACAGTCTTAGTAGTAAATGTTCTAACCTGCAGAATATATATTCAGGATATCTGAGTTTAGCTGGCCAGCTAATCTGCTAACTTACATGTAACAGCTCGTTAGCTACAGAGCTACTGTCTTTCTCTGCTTTAAATACGATAACGTTAATCTGATTGCAGAAAACGCGATATGTTCATTCAGTCAACAAAACGGTGCAATAAGAAGCACGTCTACGGAAACAAAAGCAACCGATCACCTTATCAGACGGAAAAGCCTAGCCGCTGGTCTGCTGACAGTAAACACTGCTGCTGAGAATCGACTCTCCAATTGAATCGAATCTTTGAATCATAAGTTCTCTTTAATGATTCAGAGATATTCTTTTTATGTTTTATGAGTTTTGTGTTTGTTTATTTATTTGTTAATTGTTTTTATGTTGTAATCAATGTTAAATTCAGGGAAACAGATCATTATTTTATTAAAATCTATTCTTCAATCGTAAAATATTGGTAGGTGTACAAATGCTCTTGGATTGTATTGGATACTGGGCAAACCGACAAAGTAACGACAATTTACCTTAGATGTATTTGTCTCTTTCCATATAGTATGGAAGCCCGTTTCCGCCACTGAATAAAAAAAAAAGGTAATTGCGACTTTTTATCTTACAATTCGGACTTTTTTCACAGAGCTGTGAGATATAAACTCGCAATTGCGAGTTATAAAGTCAGAATTGCGAGATATAAAGTCAGAATTCTGACTTTTTTTCTCAGAATTGCGTGATATAAACTCACAATTGCGAGCTATACAGTCACTTTTTTTCTCGCAATTGCGAGTTTATGTCTCGCAATTCTGACTTTTTTTCTCAGAATTGTGAGGTATAAACTCGCAATTCTGAGAACATATCAGTCTTTTT